AACCCGCTGTCGGTGAGTCTAGTCTGTTCATGCCAAGTCAAGTCAAGTCTGTTCATGTCAAGTCAAGTCTGTGTCTCTAGTCTTCGTCTGTTTGGATTATTGTTTGGATGTTTGGATCACCTGTAAATAAACTGCACTTGGGTTCTTCACTACGCTCGCCTACAGTGGATGATTCGTTACAGCTATACTGAATGTGTGAAAAAGAAAAAAAAAAATACCACAAAAAACTGATAGATAATGTTGCTACATATCAACGAGGTAAAACTTTTTATTAATATTTTGCAATAAAAAAAACTCGCATGAGATTTTAACACATTAAATTATGATATGCAAGTCTAGACATTTCATCTTATTTCATTCAAAGATATTTTAAACAAACACACCTTGGCTGTCCTTCACGCATAGCCTATTCCTCAAAGAGAAAATACAGCTGAGCAATATCATGGTAATGTTTATGCTCCGAATATTTCATCTGCAAAATGCATAATGCAATACACATTTAATTGATAATAATAATAATACACAATAAGCTACTAAGTGAGAAAACAGTTGATGTCGATGGTAAAGTCAGGCTACTTGCTAGCTATATTAAAATATACATAGTAACCTTGTTACATTAAAGAGCCTGCTTTAACGGATAAAAATAGTTTTGTTGGTAGGCTATACCTTGGTATAAATTATTGCATTTATGTATCAGTGATATTTGTTACTTGAATATAAACCAGTAATTTAGTCCTATGTTGCATTTTTGTAACAAATGAATACAAATAGCAACAAACAAGAACACGAATATGTGATATTAAGTTGCAATAGCCTGTTCCGACAAAATGAAAATTTTGGATTTGGTGCTTGAAGTCACTGGCAATAAAATTTAGAAAAACCTTGTAAACCAGCAGATTTGCAAACTATAGAAGACAGGAATTTGGACGAGCGGCTTGCGTGCCATCACTTTTCCTCCAGATATTTGTAATGTTTTACTGAGGAGAAATAAAAATAGAATGTTCATTTTAACGGCATCTATAGCACAAACGAACGGAGCCGTTGGCATGGACGGAGAGCTCCCTGAATTAGCATATATTTGTTATTCCTAGGGGGAATATGTTCAGTATTCTAATGGCACAAATCGAGCACAAATGAATTAGAACGATTTAGACTCACTGTAAAAAATTTTAAAAAATGTAAAAAAAGAAGGCCTCACCGTTTCAACTTCATGCTGCCTTGAAATGTAAGCTTAGTCAACTTGAAATATGAAGTTAGTGAAAACTTGGAGCTGACTAAACTTAAAATTTTAAGGCAGCACAAACACTATTTTTTTAACTCTGCGGCCGCGCTAAACGGGGTGGAGAGTAAAGTTCCCGTTATATTTAAGAAGAGGTCATGGTTACATTGTTTATTTTAACGGCACAAATCAGCACTGATCGAGCACAAATGAACGGCACCGGTTTGGAGGGATTTGGACAGCATGGGGTGGAGAGTGACGTCACAGTTCCCGTAAATATTTTGGTTACATCTAAGGAAGGAAAATAGATGCAGTGTTTGTTTTAACGGCACAAACCAGCACAAATCGAGCACAAACGAATGGCACC